AAAAAATTATATTTATTTTTTTAGTTGTAGTTGGACACAATATCTTTATTTTATTAATTTATTTTTATGTGGTGCTGAGGATTGAACCTAGGGCCTTGAAAGTGCTAGGAGAGCACTCTACCGCTAAGCCACACCCCAACCCCTTTTGTTATATTTCAGCAAAAAAATCTTACAAACTAAATTGTCACAGTCTAAAAGGGTAGATCATATGAGTAAGTATATATGTGAACAATTCATTATTTTGGAAGATAACTTAAAATGCTCAGGTCTTAAGTTATTTCTCTATTGCAAAAATATTTTTAAATTACTTTAATTTTCAAGAAACATTAAKACTAATTTTTAAAATTCAGTTTTATAAAATTAATGATTGTAAATAAAGACAAGTCACATGACTTATAGTTTTGTTTGCACAAGGTAAATTACTAATATTGTAGCAATTTTAATTTTAAAATACAGTACAGAGCTGGGTGCGGCAGTATATGCCTATAGTTACAGCTCCTCAGGAAGCTGAGTCAAGAGCATCACTAGAAACCAGGAATTCAGGGCCATCCTGACAATATAGGGAGATCCCATCTTAAAGAATAAGAAAAAAAAAATACAGATTATGTTGCTCCATTAATGAAAGTTAAAGGATGGAAGAAGATATATCAGATAAATTCTAAATCAAAAGAATGCTAGTGAAACAATTAAAAAAAAAACTACAAAGAAAATTCTAGAACTAAAAGAAGTAAATTAACTGAGTAAAAGCTAGAATTTGAGTTTCACAGAATGTTCTAAAGCTGGGAGATAGGGAAAAAGAGAAGTAAAAATAACTGAAATGCCTCATTTTACTGGAGTCAGGGTGAACAATCTTATTTGCAAACAYTGAAGAACTATGTTAGAGTACAGAAAAAGGCATACTGATTATTAATAGAATGGGACATTATAATAGAATTTCTACACTAACAAGGAGGAAGAGGTGGAGGAATCACAAATTCATCAGCAACAACAGAAACAGAAATAAAGAAGAAAATAATGTAAAATAAATAGACACAATAGGGGAAATAAAATCAATACATGTATCATCATAAATGGGTAAAATATTAAAAACAAAAATGCTCCATTTTCAAGAAAGATACACAATAAACAAGAAATATCACATAGCAAAAAAAGCACAGAAGTAGTATATCAAATCACACAAACTAGAATTTAAAGTTGAAAAAATTTCTAAAGAATGTTCATAGAAAACAAATATTAAAAATGACTAACAATAAGTCTAAGAAAAGATAAAGCGATGTTCACTATTTAAAATAAAATGTAAGCTAGGCATAGTGGCACATACCTGTAATCCCAGCAACTTAAGAGGCTGAGCAAGTAAAGACAAGCCTCAACAACTTAGCAAGGCCCTAAGCAATTTAGTGAGAGCCTATTTTTCATAATAAAAAATAAAAAGGGCTGGGAATGTGACTCAGYGGTTAAGTACCCCCTGGGTTCAATCCCCCATACTAAAAAATAAAACAAAACAAAATTTAAAGTAGGTATTTCCTGAAATTGTGTTTATTATTCTTAAATTATCCTTTTAATAAGATTCATTTTTATTTTTTTAAAAAAGTAAGTTGCCTAGGAAAAGGCTTCAGGGTATATAAGATAAACTATGTTTATTTAATTATCTTAGCATATACTACTATTTATTAAATGAGGATATCATTATTCTCCCTGTTTCTAACTATATTAATACAAATAATCCTTTGAAATTTAAGAAGTTTTATCTTTATAAGAAAAAAAATCTTTAATACCTCTTACCAAGTCAAAGATTTTGTACCAATATTCTTAACACAAAAAACACTTCTTTACATAGTTGACGCACACCTGTAATCCCAGCAGTTCAGGAGGCTAAGGCAGGAGGGTCACAAGTTCAAAGCCAGCCTCAGCTATTTAGAAAGGCTCTAGGTGACTTAGCAAGACCCTGTCACAAAATAAAAAATAAAAAGGGCTGGGGATGTTGMTCAACAGTTAAGTGCCCCTGAGTTCAATTCCTGGTACTAAAAATAAATAAAGTGTTATGTGTGACAATGTTTCATGGTACATCACATACAAATCTTTTCAATACATCCCCTTTCCCCAAAACATTCCACAAACAATTGACTTAACCCCTGATATATAACTTGAAAAACCTCTGCCACCATTGTGAGAGTGTATTCTTTACCACTTTCCAACCATTACTCAAATCAAAACAAAAATGACTAGGAACTATGACTATAAATTCAAGTCAGGTTAAGTTTTTGTTTCTGCATTTTTTAAACATGACAATGATAATTTAAAAAACATAGGGGCTGGGGATGTGGCTCAAGCGGTAGTGCGCTCGCCTGGCATGCATGCGGCCGGGGTTCGATCCTCAGCACCACATACAAAGATGTTGTGTC